GTGTAACCCATGGTAGAAATAGCAATTTACCATGGTGGAAATAGCAATTCCCTAAAATATTTATTAAGAATAAGTCAATAATTTTTTTAATTAAATTTTTTTTTCTAAATTAGTATATTTTTATTTAATAAATAACTTAAATTTTTTTTATAAAATAAAATTAAATACTATTATAATATAATTCTTATTTTTAAATATTAAAAAATTTATATAAATATTTTAAATTTAAAAATATAAATTATAAATATATTTATAATAATTGTCTAGATAAATTTGTCTAGAAAAGCCTATAAATTAAGAGATACTACTATAATATTTTGTTAAACTATTTTGTTAATTAAATAGTTTTAATTTAAATTAGAATTAAATTTAAATTAGTAGATTTTTAAAAAATTACAAAAATTATAGAGATTAATTAAAATGAAATCAGATTAAAATAAAATTAGAAACCTCTTTTGCTTATTCTAAAAGCTTATAAAACCTATATATACTCTTTTATTAATAACGCTTATTCGCAAATTCATACCAACTCCTAATTACCACTTGATTTGCTTTAGATGCATCACTTTTAGCACAGATTATGTTTGTAAAGTTGGATTAACTTTGATATATCACCGTTATTGTTTTTATTATTATTAACATTATTATTATTATTATTATTAATGTTATTATTATTGTTATTAATGTTATTATTATCTTCTCTTCTAATAAGATTGTTTAGTTCTCTTAATAGTTGCATCATTTGGGCTTTTTTAGATGTGGTATTAGATTTGATTCTTCTAGATATTGCTTTAGATTCAGTTCTTTTAGATGCTGATTTAGTAGACTTTGTTGTAGATATCGATATTTTACTAGATTCAATTGATGCAATAGGTGCAGGAGCAAAAGCAGAAGCAGAAGCAGAAGCGGTAGGTTTAACAGAAACAATAGGTCCTGTAAATTCAGCTAATATAAAAAAAGCGATAGAATCAGTAGATTCTGCTAGTATAAAAGAGGTGTAAAGTTCAATGAATTCAACAAACATACCATTAGTAGGTTCATTAGATTCTGTAGATTTGATAAATTCTATATTAATGATAAATACGGTAGATTTGGTAAGTATAGGAGGTTTAATAGATTCAGTAAACATGGTAGGTTCAGTGTAATCAGTAAGTGAAGTAGAAATAATGACATGTTCTAAATTCAATAATGAGCTAATAGAATAGTTACTTTCTTGATGATTAACCGGTATATTTTTAACTCCATTAGTTATTTCTTGATACTGCGGACACTTTTCTCTAATACATTCTTTATGATAAAAATGTTTACAATTTAAAATTATAACTGCTTCTTTAATACTTGAATTAATAACGCCTTTACATATCATACAAATATTATTTTTTGTTATATCAATATTTGGCAGAATATCTTCAGGTTCTTCGTAGAAAATAACTTTGTAGCAAAATTCTTTTAAGGATTCCATATTTGTCTTTTTAAAAAAAGATAACCTACATATTTATATTTATAACTAATTAATGATAATCTTATACGTATGTGATATCATTAAATATTAGACTTTTTTTATGTGTAATTTTATTCTCTAATTAAGTAATTGATTGACATATCGATAACTATATTTTTAAGAGTTAAATAAAAGTATTTTGCATACTGATAAGCTATAGACTTTTCTTATATATAATATCATTATAGCTTATTCTCTAATTAGGTAATTGATTGACATATCGATCACTATATTTTTAAGAGTTAAAAGTATTCTGCGTACTGATAAGCTATAGACTTTTCTTATATGTAATATCATCATAGCTTATTCTCTAATTAGAAAATTGATCGATATATCGATCACTATATTTTTAAGAGTTAAAAGTATTATGCGTACTGTTATATATACGTAATACATTTTGTATAAACTATAGACCTTTCTTATGTGTAATATCATCATAGCTTATTTTCTAATTAGATAATTGATCGATATATCGATCACTATATTAAGAGTTAAAAGTATTATGCGTACTGTTACGTA